CGGACTTCAAACGTTTAGTAAAAGTAAGTAGGATATTTGAAATACACAAAATGGTTTTCTTCCGACAGTAATCAATGCTTAATCAGTATAAACAGATCAGATAAATAAATATACATTTATTTAATAAATTCTCCTCCTCAATTATTTATAATCTAAATAAGGAATCGTTTTAGTTATTTAAGAAAAGAAAAAAAAGCTAATTTATATACTTTACAACATTGAAACAGAAAGTTAATGAGATTATAGATACCAATGCTATGGTTTGACTTGATAGCTTTAAATAAATCGAGTATTGGGTAAAGTTAATAATGATAATATTTTTATCGGAATGAGGGTTTGTAGAAATTGTAGTAATTTAATAGTTAAATTCATAGGTCGATTTAAGTTAGACCACCTTGAAAAACCTGGAAGCACTGGAAGGTCATTTCGTCCTAGTATGGGACTACTTAGCAGTGTGCATCCACGATCCCACGTGTGAGATTCGAACCCAGGACCTTTGGTCTGGCATGTGAACGCTTAAACTCCAGACCACTGGACCGACATCCAACGGTAATAATGTGTAGTTTTAACCAATCCACGATATTGCGCGACCGTTCATACTAGGACAAAACGGCCATCCAGTGCTTCCAGGTTTTCCAGAGGGGTCTAGCTTGAACCAACTCATGAGTTCAACTGTTAAAATATTTTTTTATTATGTCCCAATGAGTAGAAAAATTGTACGTATCATCGTTCGTGAATTCATGTAAGCCACTAACTTTGAAGCAGCGGTTTACATCAAGTCACGAAAGATCATAAATACAATTTTTCTACTCATTGGGATATAACAAAATAAACATATTTGTCATTATCAATAAAAATAATGAAAAAGGTAATAAACACAGAAGAGCTGTGGGAAAATTTTATAAAGTTAGTTAATTATATTAATTTAATAGTTCAATTCGTGAGTCAATTGAAATTACTATGATATCCGGGAAAACCCCTTCTGATACTAATCAACATATGCTCACTTGTGAATGGCTTCAAGAGGTACTTCCTGGAGTTCTAGTGAGAATCCCTGACCAGTGGAGTTCAACCGGGTCTTTTGTGAGATAGTAACTCACTGAAAACAATAGTGGACGGTGGCACAGCTTTGTGGATTGGTTGGTGTTAGACATTAACACTGTTGGACGCCGGCTCAATGGTCTAGATGCCAAGCGTTCGCGTGCAAAATCGGGGGTCCTGGGGTTGAATTCCCCGGGACGGAATCGTGTATGTGCACTGCTAAGAACTCCTATACTAGGGTGAAACGGCCATCTAGTACTTCCATGTTTTCCATGGTGGTCTAGCTTCAATTTACTCATGAATTTAACTATTAAACTACTATAATATCCATAAAATTCCTTTGTGAGTTAATTATATTTTAATTAGTTTGAATAGTTTGGATAAAAATTTAAAAAAAAGAAATTAGACAGATATTTGGAAAAATTCATATTGAAATTGAAATCGATCCATGGTATAGGCTTCAAAAAAAATTAAAATAATCTTCACAAATGACTTCTAACAAAAAACACCCCTCTATTAGTTCAATTTGATTGAAATTACATCTGAAACTTGTGATGTGTTATGTTGAATTTAGATGAAGATCAATTGTTTGTAGTCTCAAGTATCTATAAAGTATATTGTGTATTTATCTAAAATTCATAGTTTTACAAAGAACGAAATGTTTTCTTAAGATTAAGAACAACTAATGAACATCACTATTATTCAACTTGTAAATGTAGACTATTGGATTCTGAATCAGTACTCATAGAGATATTTGAGGGACTTCAGTGATTTCTCATGTAGGTTTATAAATTAGAACGAAACAATAGCTTAGTGATATCTTATAATCTATAATACTTTATAAAGATTATGTCATTTTATAACGAACTATTTGAACTTGGATTAGTTTTAATTTGGTTATTTATTTTCTGGAGAAGTGACTTACACTAAGCCACGAAACGTCGGGAAATCTAATTTTTCTACTCATTGGGATGCTACAAATATGTTATTTATTTATGTACCAGTATGGTCGGGAAAAGGATTTACTAAACCGATCAACAGCACTATTCTTTGTCACTTGGTAGATAGTGAACATCATATGACAATAAAGGGAACTTTCTCTGCTTTATACCAATTTCCAAAAAGCCTACTTCATGGAGATAGATTACGACTACTCTACATAGCCGAAAACATCTGGATCAACTCCAGAAAACCGAACTTATGTATCCAAAAAATGTATATCCAGCCTCCATGTTTACCTTGGCCTGCGACTGGATCACCAGATACCTAAAATGAATATTATAAACGTCTTACCCCGTTCCCGTTTTTTTATTACATCCATCTTAATCTTCATAGCCATCATTCCCAATTCACTTGAATTTTCTTTTATCGTAGTTACCTTGGTAACACTCCTCTTATTACATATTATATTCACATAACGATGTTATTATTATTATGATTGGTAATATCATTATTACCTTAGTTAACAAAGTGTAATTCTCCTACTGTGCATTTTGTTCACACGAGTTTTTCTTTGTTCGTTTTCATTTTTGCTATTTTACTATTATATTGATTATGATTTGACACTTTAGTTCAAATCATTCTAACCTTTATTAAATGACCTTTCTAATTTACAAATAACACGATTTCGAAGTATATATTTCGTAACAGATGCAAACGCTCACTATTTTTAACATATAACATTGTCAAATTCATTAATACATGCCTTATTTTGGCCCTTGTAAAATATTATAATCATGGACTTATAACTACAATGTCTGATGATGAAGTAATTGAAACCAATCGTTCTTTCAAATATTTTTCATTTTAAAAATCATTCATTGGTATTTAACTTACTATTGGTTGACATAAATGAAAACGGAAGGATGACTAGTTTTCTACAAAACATCTTTTGTATAGATATATACTACTCTTAAGAGTTTTTAAGAACATAAGTGCAAAACAATCATTTATGTAAGGTTAAAGAGAGAAAAAGTTAAAAGAAAAGATTTGAATGTGAATAACAACACTTCCAGCAGAAATTATATTAATATTTGAATAGTTTTCCCTATATAACTCCATATGTCTTAACAATGAAGTGCTTTGTCAGAGTAAGTTCAATTGATCGGATTAATATTTTTATCATTAAGACTAGGAAAATATTTATAACCCATCATCTGTATATAGATTAATCTAACGAATCCAATTTTTCATTTTGTACAAAAACTGATAACATTCGATACAAATCATGAGTATTGGAGTATTCTACAGTCTGCTAATAAGAACCAAAGATTGTATAAATTAAACAAAATTTTGTTCAAAACTAATGTAGGAAAAAAAAGTTACATAACATTAGCTACTTTAGGTAACCAATCTGTGTTAAAGAAAATTCTTGAATGTACACGAATAAAATTTTTTTCAAAAATAACAAACTCAGTAATTAAAAATTAAATTTGGATCTTTCATTTTGAAGATGAAACGTATAGTTTTAGTGGCAACGTTTCTGACTACAACCCTGGTTGACGAGGAGTTAAATCGTATTGGTAGTGATGTTTTCCTTAAAATTTCAGATGGACCTTAATTAAGAGTCCTAACAAGTATGAAACCTAGGTCCATCTTAGAGATTGCTTAAAACCCTATCATAATTGATCTAATCTATAAGATACTTCAGTTCAAACCATAAATGTCAAACTGTTATGAAACAGCGATTTAATGATCCATGGTTTACAATGATTTTTTTTTTCGGATCTTTTGACTGTATGTAATTAAAACTAAATGAAGATTATTCTATAATAAGAAAGATTAGCAGCTAAAATGAATAACTTTAGGGGAGTTAGACGGTAGAAATATTTTTCATCTCATAGATTCTTAAAATTAGTGGTGTTAACCTTGTTCTATCATTGAACTAAACATTCCCCAGTGAATCCTTTGCATCATTTGCATGAATCGTAGTCAAAAAATTAAAATGTGAAAAATAAAACATAACCGAAAACTCATCTCTCATTATTTTTTTCCTTAAACTGTACACTAATGTTCATACAGTTTGCTCTGAAAAAAAGACCATTTTAATAAGATATCTATTGTATATGGTAAATGTAATATTGTTATGTAACCGCTGACAAGATTATTTTAATAAAGCATCTATTTTTCTTTAAAAATAATTTTAAATTAAAGATTAATCTCAATAGTTGAGATCACCATGGAAAACCTGGAAGCACTTGACGGCTGTTTCGTTTCATCATGGGACTCTTCAGCAGTACGCATCCACGACCCTGCCTCTCGGGATTCGAAACCAGGACCCATCAGTCTCGCGCGCGAGCGCTTAACCACTGGACCACTGAGCCAGAATCCAACGGCGTTACTAAAGGTTAACCATCAAATCGAAAGGATAAAAATAAAACTGAACAACTGTAGTTTGAATCACTTAAGAACTGTGCTCACCTTGTTCTTGCATAGGATCGAACCCATAACTATCATTTGTGCATTCAAGCATAATCATAAACCAAATTTCCACTTAATTACATATTTCTATTTCTTTTCTTTTGTTTGTCTGTATACACGAATGAAAAGTTGATTGACTTCTAATTATTAAACATATAACTAACAATACATTTTGTTAGTAAATTGTCTTTTGTTTTTACAAAATGACAATATTAGATGGTTGAACGTAAACGACATGAATCCCTGAATATATATTATTCACATCACTAATGAGAGCTTCTTGTGTAATTCACACATTAACTGATCACTTTATAAGCATACTGAATCATGGTCGAAAATTTTTAATCATTAAAGGACAATATGATATTGATTCCTATTCAGCAATCAAGTAGTTTGAAAACTGAATACATAAAAATATATGTATCTAATTATCAGCCTTCTAAGGATAAGAAAAATCCAGAAGTTACATTATGTTCATTTCAGTGTCAATAATAGAAAAACAGATTACCATTGAGCATTTAATCTATTAATCAACTTACATGAATACGCGATTGCCAGTTGAATAAACGCCATATAATACATGGTATTGAAAACATTGCAGCTTGTAACATTAACAAGAATGGCACCCATTGATAATAATGTATAGAATCTTTTCTACGTAACGGTAAATCTGATGGTATTGTTGGTTGATCAGGTGATATAAAATAAGTTGAAGTGACCCAACATACTAATGTAGCATATTCAACTTGTGCACTAGTAAATTCATTCGGTGTCCAACATGCTATTGGTTTACCAATAAATTGTCTACCCATTATTACAAGTGTACATATCATAAGTATAGTTGTTGTATATGAATGATTAATTCTATCAATAAAATCATCATCAGTTCGACTTTTACTACTTCCAATTTCAATACTTAATCGTGTTAGTCCATTTAAAACACTTGATTCAAACATGATGGTAAAACTTTAAAATTAATGTATATTACTGAAAATCTATATTCATTTCAATGTTTAATATCTTCGTCAGTATCTAATGTTAATTTATAAATTACCATCTTTTTAGTTTAGAGATTTGTACAAATGTGTTTGTAATACTTTTAATGGATTTAATTATAAATTTCAAATACCATTAAAAGACCTATAATTTGCCTGTCTATCTATCTATCTTCTTTCATTTGTCCTATTAAAAATATCCAATCCGTTATGAGTTGTAATTTTGTTACTGAAAAACACTACTAACCTACGAAAATGTCTGATAATATGAGTAGAATAAATGAAGGATCTATTGACTATCTTTAAAACTATTAGTTAGAAAAATATTTGGGAACAATTAGATCGAAATGTCAAATTAGGATAAATCTATAGCTGAAGGAGAGAAATTCAATGTTAGAATTATGGTTATTATTTTGACAGTACTTTTCTGGTTAGCGTTTTTTCTAGTGAGTTAGTTTTCTACGGGATGGAGTCACTAACCCCATGCTCAACCCTCCTCCTTTATCCGGGAATGGGACCGGCAGTAGCTCCAAAGGGGCTCCAGGAGGATTTATTTTAACAGTAAGTTGATGAATAAAAAAAGCCTACTTGAGCTGGTACTTAATGACTGTCTAACTACATTCAATTTATACAATCTGATAGGTATTCGATCATAATTAGTAATGGTCCGAATTATCCAATTGCTGATATTTGCAACTGAAATTAAGTCAATCGTTTTTAAATACCATAATATTGACTAATCGTAACTGTTAATCATACATGGTGGTCTGGAACATTTGTTCAATTAGATCTTAATATTTCAGACAGGCTAGTTGAAAAGCTGTGAAACTGGGAGAAAAAGCTTTTTATCTTACTGTATATGGATGTGACAACGGTAACATGTTTCCCTCAGACAACCGACATCTGCATTAATGCTGCATTTTCACAACGGAAAGAGGAGTTTAGAAAAGGTTGATCCTAACAATAGAAAACTCCATCTCGGTTCATAGATTTCCGTCTCCTGCAGTAAGACTTTAAAAGCATGGGTCAAACTAATCCACAACTGCTTGAAAAATGACAGTATGTAATTGACCTAAAGAAATTGTTCTTTCTATACTGTGGTAAGGCTTACAGGTCATCGTAACCACTTCTAGTCATGTTACCCTTTCATATTCCCCACCAATAAGAAGCATCCTTTCGTGGTGCTAACAATTACGGTTCATAAAATGCTACCCCACCTTTTCTGTAGTCATGCTTCTAACGAAACACCGGAACATTAGGTAAAATCAGACAACGGACGTCACTAGATAAGACCCCAGAACCCGTTGTCACAGATGTATACTTTATCACCGAACTGCGAATACAGGATCCTAGGGTGACCATTCATTTTACTTAGCTCAGCTAGTATGGAGATTTAACACGATATACCCTTTCTGTATTTCGATATCTAACAGCAACTTATTGTGATCTTGACTGTGTAGATATGGCAATAAATCTGTAAGTAGAACATGAATTTCTTGGATGGGTTTTTGTCGAAAGTCACTTATGTGGCACCCATTTCAATGGTACAATAATAAATCTGAAGAATAAGGGCACACGAGGTTCACTCTACATCATCTTCTCTGTGCCCCATCTCATTTCCGCCTGAATTCAGTAAAAGGTGAGTTTTACAAGAAACATAATGACCTCTAAAAAGTCATGAGCTTACTCTTGGTGATTTTAGTAAGTGATTTGAACGTCCAACATCAATACAAAGATAAATACGAATAGGATATATGGTCGTTAGCCATCAGTAGAAAGATTACTTAGAAGGCGGTAGATCCTTCTGAAGCACGTTAGTTGACTCTTCCATTTCATTAGAAAGATAAAATTGCGACAGAAATCGTTCAAAGAGAGATTGACACATCTGCACACTATAATGACATGTATATTCAATTATTTTTGTAGAGACAAAATAAAGACCACATTATTTCTTTATTTGTGACACTGTATGTAATCACATCTGTATTCAATATTCATTGTTTCTGTTTATCAATTGTAAAAAACGGACATAATTGTTTGCTTGTACTAATACACACACACGTTACCGCTGTTATGAAAAACGCTATCTCTGTTGTCTGTTCTTCTATTTTAATGGCCACGGCCTGATATTGAAAATTAGAATAGTGTTATAAACCCTTTAGGCCATTCTACAATACGTTTGAGTTTTGGCTCGGATCATTATTAAATGATACTATTAAATTCAATCTTTTTCATCAAGCCGTTGGTGCCACACGTGCGGAGGAACCTCCGTTAATCGACTGAACTTATTTGTGGTTTATATCTCAGAACGGGCTTACACGTAACATCCATTACATAACAACTATTATCGTTTTGTTACTTATTATACCATTTTGTTGTGAGGGTTATTGGTTACAACTTGATCTACTCAAAACAGACACTTAGTTTGTAATGTTAATGATTTTTGGTATATCATTAGTAATTGTGCGGATAGTCATATCTTGAATAAGCTCTTTTAGTGGGATCTATCACAGCACTCACCACCGCACAGAGTAGCCTGTAACATTAGAGCTCATCATTATTCAAATTAGCAGGCGATAAACAAGAAAAACTAACTGCAAAGTATAACAGGCTACTCTGAACTATGGTGTGTGCGCTGAAGTATTAGAATGACCCATGCAGAAATAGAGTGTTGCGATTATGTGTTCATTGACCACATGTTACACTATTTCCCGTTGTTCGTTTCACACTCTGAAATATATGCCCTATTGGCTTTGGACACAACAGATCATGTGACCAGGAAAGTGACTTGAACAATTATTGTTTAAGTCTTTATCACATGAAAAAAGTTCGACTGCAAACTATATATTCAGTTTTATACGAATGACACACCGAGTAATACTGATCTTTTTAAAGGTATGACAAAACAATCAACGTTTAAACCTATCTTCATTGAAAATATTAGATGTTTCTTGACTTCAGTTGTTCATGGTTACGGTAAAACTATAACCAAATTTGTAATAGATCATCGAAATTTGCAATATCTGACCATACAACATGGAATACGACGATTTATTTCAAGTAGGAGATAAATCAAAATCAATTCTAGCGATTGCTTCGATCGACTAACTGTTTATGATAACGTTTAATATATTACTTACTTACTTACTTAAGCCTGTTACTCCTCGTGAAGGAGCATAGGCCGCTCACCGGCATTCTCCATCCAACCCTGTCCCGGGCAATCCTTTACAGCTCTTTCCAGTTCTTATTCATCCCTTTCATATCCGCTTCTATTTCTCGACGTAATGTGTTCTTTGGAATTCCTCTTTTCCCCTTCCGTCCAGGATTCCAAGTTAGCGCTTGTCTCGTAATGCAGTTTGATGATTTCCTCAATGTATGTCCTATCCATTTCCAATATATTTTCCTAATTTCCTCTTCAGCTGGGAGCTGGTTGGTTCTCTCCCACAAAAGGCTGTTGCTGATAGTATCCGGCCAATGGATGTTGAGTATCATGCGTAGACAGCTATTGATAAATACTTGTACCTTCTTGGTGGTTGTTGTTGTAGTTCTCCAAGTTTCAGCTCCGTACAGTAGAACTGCCTTGATGTTCGTATTGAAGATTCTGACTTTGATATTGGTTGAAAGTTGTTTTGAGTTCCATATGTTCTTCAGTTGAAGGAATGCCGCTCTAGCTTTGCCAATCCTCGCCTTGACGTCTGCATCTGAACCTCCTTGTTCATCGTTGATGCTTCCCAGGTATGTGAAGGGTTCCACATCTTCCAGAGTTTCGCCATCAAGCGTGATTGGATTGCTGTTCTCCGTGTTGTATTTGAGGATCTTGGTTTTCCCTTTGTGTACGTTGAGGCCTACTGATGCAGAGACTGCTGCTACACTGGCTGTCATTATCTGCATTTGTTCGTGTGTATGTGATAGGAGGGTTAGGTCATCTGCGAAGTCCAAACCGTCTAATTGGTTCTGAGCTGTCCATCGTATGCCGTGGTTTCCCTCAGATGTCGAGGTCTTCATAATCCAGTCGACCACCAGAAGAAACAGGAAGGGAGAGAGTAGACAGTCTTGTATTACTCCGGTCCTTACTTGGAATGCGTCAGTCAACTGTACTCCATGCACTACTTTGCACTGTAGTCCATAGTATGAGTTCCGGATAATGTTGACAATCGCCTCGGGAACTCCGTAGTGTCGAAGAAGTTTCCATAACGTCCTCCTATCTACACTGTCAAATGCCTTCTCATAATCAATGAAGTTGACGTACAGTGACGAGTTCCACTCAATTGATTGTTCGACGATGACCCGTAGTGTCGCGATCTGGTCTGTGCACGACCGGTCCCAACGGAATCCAGCTTGTTGATCTCGCAGTTGAGCGTCTACTGTGTCTTTCATCCTGTTCAGTAACACTCTGTTGAAGACTTTACCTGGTATTGACAGTAGTGTAATGCCTCTGTAGTTTTCACACTTGCTCAGATCTCCTTTCTTTGGAATCTTGATGAGGTGTCCATCTTTCCAATCCATCGGCACTTGTTCCTCCTCCCAGATTTTCTTGAATAGAAGATGAAGCATGTTTGTGGTTACTTCGGTGTCTGACATCAGTGCTTCAGCTGGTATATTGTCAGGTCCTGCTGCTTTCCTGCTCTTGATTTGTCTGATGGCCATTCTGATTTCTTCGGTCGTTGGTGGATTGACATCTATAGGAAGATCTGTGTGTGCTGCTTCGATGTCCGGTGGATTCATTGGAGCCGGCCTATTCAGGAGTTCCTCGAAGTACTCTGCCCATCTGTTCCACTGTTGTTGAATCTCAGTGATTGGTCTTCCTTCTTTGTCTTTGACTGGTCTCTCTGGTTTACTGTATTTCCGTGCTAGCTTCTTCGTCGTATCGTAAAGCTGTTTCATATTTCCTTCTCTTGCAGCTTTCTCCGCCGTCGTTGCTAGTTCTTCCACGTATTTCTGCTTGTCGGCTCTAATGCTCTTCTTCACTTTCTTGTTTGCTTCTATGTACTCAACTTGTGCTTGGACTTTCTCTGCTCTTGTTCGACTGTGGTTAATTGCTGTCTTCTTGTTCTTTCCTTCTTTGATCCTGTCCAGTGTTTCTATAGA